CTGCTGTTATCCACACTTCCCTGAACAGCTGAGATATCCAAGCTGTTGGACTGCATTTTGCCGTTGACGTAAACAAAAACTTTCTTCTGTTGATCACGATCAAACACAACAGCATAGTGGACCCATTTGCCAAGCATCTGGGCCGGTTGATAGCCACCGTCAAACACAATGTTTTTATCCACAAGTTTGTTCTGCTTGTCCCGGATGCAAATGCGGAGACCCTTGTAAGTAGCTTGGGGTCCATGTCCTGTTTCCCATCCGGGTTTCCATCCAAGGCGGCCCGGTTCAAAATAACAGCCATACCCTTTCCTGACAGCAAAGGTTGTCAGCGGATATGAGTGATCCAAAATCTTCGCCCATCCGATAACAGTGAAGCTCGAATATCCAAAATTTAAGTTGGCAGCGTTTAGAATGGTAACCTGTCCACTATTACCGTTGAAGAAACGTCCACGTGAGAACTTGGACAGCTTAGACACGGCCCCGCTGGCTGAGCCGTGGTTCTCATGGCCTGAGTCATCAGCGACCTCGTTTCCAGTTTGCTCATCCATACGCCAATGCCCAACCAAACCAGCGACCCGGTTGCTATAGCAACCCTTAAGAGGGTTACATTGGGGAAAGTACGGCTTCCACTGTCTTTCGGAGCAGACTTCTAAGAGAGTGTGACCGCTATCAGAAGAAGAACGAATCATTCCTGTTCTCATAGTGGTGCAAGGTTCCTCTTCGTAGGTCAGAAGATCAAGGTTCTGAAAAACAAAAATGTTATAGAAATTTTAATCAATTTTAAATTAGAGAAATACTTCAATTTTAAAGCCAATAATTATCTATAATAGTTTTGACAGGAAAACTAGCGCACTGCCACAGCCCAAGTCAAAATTCGAAGAGCGAAATATCTATCTAACTACCCGCGGAATTTCATAGTTTTCATATCATTCTTATTGGGTTAATTTCAGTGAGTTAAATATAAAAGACGTAAGGATGATTTTTTCTTCTCGCTGTGTCACTTGCTTGACTGTAGTAGTATCTGGAGAAATCGGTTTTGTTTTACTATGATTTATGCTCATAGTTCTGTTAGCTTTTTTATTTTTTTTGTTGCAACGAAATGATAAACGCGAAGTCGACAATACACAGAAAATATATCTTATAGATACAGCCTTAGAAAACTTGTCGCATGATACGGATCACTAATGCTTGGTTTCTTTTTATTGAAAAGGCAAATTCACAACAATGGAAACAAAACTACCGTAACTCTTATTTGAAACACAGAGCTCTTTCATGCATGAATTGAAACTTATCAACAAATTTGAATTGTTTTTCTTTCGAATTTGTTGCTTATAATAAATCAAGTTCATTTTTACTACTGACCCTTACCACGCACTTAGGAGAACCTTTCATTTGTGTGGGTAAAACAGCGAGAGCAACAGTGAACAGGACTGAAAAGACTCCTCTCATTATGAGCTTTAACAAGTTGATCTGGTCGCGATATGAGAAAAGGACGCACCGCGGGGCGAAGAAGCTAATCACTCTTATTGAAAAAGGAAGTGATTCCGTTTGGTGAAGTTGTTAAACTCTTGTTCCTTGAGGTCTTGAGACCTGAGAAAAACTTTTGTGATCTTAAACGCCGGCTTAGGATCAAGTAAAATATCTCTTCCGTGGGTGCCTCTAACAAACACTTAAGCACATGAAGAGCATAAACTGAACGTGCAATTTTTACCTGCAAAGGACCGTGACGGTCGTTGAGCATTCTAGGATGTGTTGTCATCTTGTTTGTTCCGTCAAATCCGTCGAGCTATCCGCTTGGGTAGGAACTCCTGTATTCCACGAGATTTTTTAGTAAAAGGAAAGCTTGATTCGAACAACTTTCAATCCATCAAGCAGTTTGAAAACTTTCGCTCAACGTTACCTCGAGGAGGTCATGCAGCCGTTCAAAAATATAAAGAGGTTTGAATAAAAACGTAGTTGTAGTCTGTCTTCAGCTTGCCGTGACGATCTGAGGTGATTTTGTAGCCTGCGAAAACAGTTGTTTCTACTCACTCCTTACCGCAAGGGACGTTTCGCAGTAAAGACTGACGAGGACAGTACGCTTGTAGCCTACGACGCTGCAGGACTGCAGGAAAGCTCGCCCTAATTTAAAGGGATAGCTTTAGTGGAAGCGTTGTAAAAAAAATCGCGGCTTTCACCCAACGAGGAACAGATTTAGTCTTTGGAGTAAAATTTGCCTTCACCCTTTAATCTTCAATCCACCGAGAGGACAACGATTGATTTCTCACTCAGTCCCTCGGCAACAGTAGATCATAGACTTATCAGAGCGCCGTAAGTGGTAGTAAGCGAGAGCGTATGTGTCCAGTCATTCAGGGGAGTCGATCCGGCCTTTCAAAGAGCCCTTTCGTAAACAAAAAGGTGGTAATATAACTCAAGGGCTAGTCGCCATTTTTTCCTCTCTGTATTGAGTAGCTTGCACTTAAATTGAGGAAACCTATGCGTTGGTGCCTTCGGTCTCTTGAATATTTCTGTATTATTCTGTACTTCCCTATTATTACTCGGACCTCGCAAGTATCGCCTTTCTTTTGTGCGCTCACGGAAGGAAAGTAATCGTCAGGCCTTCGCAGGCTACTGCGCTGTGGCTCCTTTACGCTCTCTCTACTAGGCCTGTCCCGATTGTGCTTGATCGGCTCCTTTTGAGCAACAGTTTTGCGGTTCTAGCAACCTTAAGCAACTTTTGCCTTTAATTGCAATTTTTGAGCAAAATACAGGAGAACATTTCAAGCCCGAAAATTCGTTGACATTTTCATAGAAAACTTCAATTTATGCGAATTTTCTTGAATGTTTACCCACCCGTTTGCACACGTAACTTTTTATTTCACAACGTTTCGCCGGTCAAGAAAGGCCTTTTAAACATGTCTAAGAGGCTTCAAACCGGCAATTAATTTAATACACAAAAACGCCCAAGGTGAGTTAAAAGAGAAATTCGATGCACATTTTGCTAATTTGTAAAGCAAAACATGTTTCTCCTACAACGTCTTATAATTTATTCTTATGAATGAATAAAATAGGTTGATGTGACTCATGGGCTATCGGCATCCTAAGAGGCCAGAGACCCCCAGGGAGGGGGTATTCCCCTATATCAGGAACCCATATGGGCTCCTGCCTATATAAGCTACTACAATCGGGCGGCACACCCCTACCAAGAATTCCTAGGGGTACCCCCGGGCCTGAAACGCGTTCAGCGCGCAAATAAACACAAGAAAATACTAAAGGTAAACTTAAAAGGAAAAATTTATATTTCACTCAATTATTGAAAAAGAGGATAATAATTAGCTAAGTAGGAGCAACTCTTTAAAGCTGTTTTTCAAGCTGTTTATCTTAACCGATGTTAGCACTTATTGCCAATTAACGTTTACATAAAAATATCAAGCCATTTAGGTAGCATTTTTTGAAATTTAGGTAGCAACGTTTTGGATTTTTGGCAATTTTTAGCAAGTTTTTGGCATTCCGGTGAGTAAGTTTTCAGCATTTTACGAGCACAATCGGACCATTCGGGACAGGCCTACTCTCTAAGCTCACTAAACAAAAAAAGAGGGTCTGTAAATATACAATTTCTGTGAAGAATATTATTACAAAATTAGACCCTTTTTCTGCGATTTTCTCCTGGGACGGGAGCATCTCAAAATGTCGTGATTTTTGTTTTTCTTCGGGAGGTAAGTCGCCCCTAGTAGGGAGGGGGAGGGGGAATCTAAACAAATTCTTTACCGCGGAGTCCTGGGTCCCGGGCAAGGTGTCTCAGAATGAAATATTCAAGATGGCGGTCCATTTATCTGAGGAAAACGGAGCTATTTTACATCTCTCCGATGTAGAGAAAAACTCCAAAGAATTAAATGAACGTGGAAAAGATGCGTTGAAACCTCCAACCGCAGCTTCCAAGATCGAAATATTGTGCAAAACGCTGGCGTTCCTCGTTGTTCTTTGTTTGTTTTGTATCCATCTCGCGCGAGTTCTTCGCGAAGGTACGGTACCGGCTTGCTATTTTATTAGATTTTCTGTGAGTCAAACGCTGCTGCTGGTTTACATAATTATTAAGTGTTTTTTTTTTTCATTTTATCTTTTGGTATCGCGATATTCTGGAATTCGCTGTTCATTGTTTTGGACACGTGTCGATCGCGATCGAAGATTGCCCTAAAAAGCAATTAAGCTTATGTATGAGACTTTCAGTTAAATTGCTTACATATAATGACTGTTCTAAGTATTTAGAAAAACGCTAGCTTAAAAACATAAGTCAATTTTTTAAAAAAATGTTACTCCGGAATATTATTTCAGTTGATATATGTTTAGTTAGTAATACTACGTTATACATTGACGTGTACTTGACATTAAGCTTCAAAAAAAAATTATGTTTTATGAAGGAACATAACGTTCACTTCATTTGGGCAATTTGTACCAGTGGTATAAATATCTTTTGTTAGGAGGTTGCTCTTTTCCTTTCTTATCTTTTTGTAAGCAGCAAAAATTTTCTGTATTTCTTTGCCAAATGCTTTTTACCAGGAAAAATCTCATTCCAAACAAAGGCTAAAAGTACTTGTTCAATGACATAAATATTTATTTGGGCCTTATAGGTACATGTGTGTTTAGTTGGTGAGCGGTGGGGGGAGGGGGCTCGGTTGGGTCCAAATTCCGTTAACCTTTACCCCTGTTTTGAACATTTAAACCCTCCAAGTCAATTTTAAGGTCCACTTAAAAATGTCTCATGCCCCCTCTATTACTTTTTTCAGGGTTTTCACTAAGAATTCTAGTAGTATACCTGCCAAGTGTCATGCCTGCAGATCGAAAACTTGGATCTCACGCCTACTCACGCCTGTGTTCTGATTTGTCATGCCTGGTAGAAAAGTTTGAGCCATTGCAGCATTAACTGACACATTTTGAAAAATTTGTTAATTATTTACACCAAAGAGAGNTTTACCGCGGAGTCCTGGGTCCCGGGCAAGGTGTCTCAGAATGAAATATTCAAGATGGCGGTCCATTTATCTGAGGAAAACGGAGCTATTTTACATCTCTCCGATGTAGAGAAAAACTCCAAAGAATTAAATGAACGTGGAAAAGATGCGTTGAAACCTCCAACCGCAGCTTCCAAGATCGAAATATTGTGCAAAACGCTGGCGTTCCTCGTTGTTCTTTGTTTGTTTTGTATCCATCTCGCGCGAGTTCTTCGCGAAGGTACGGTACCGGCTTGCTATTTTATTAGATTTTCTGTGAGTCAAACGCTGCTGCTGGTTTACATAATTATTAAGTGTTTTTTTTTTTCATTTTATCTTTTGGTATCGCGATATTCTGGAATTCGCTGTTCATTGTTTTGGACACGTGTCGATCGCGATCGAAGATTGCCCTAAAAAGCAATTAAGCTTATGTATGAGACTTTCAGTTAAATTGCTTACATATAATGACTGTTCTAAGTATTTAGAAAAACGCTAGCTTAAAAACATAAGTCAATTTTTTAAAAAAATGTTACTCCGGAATATTATTTCAGTTGATATATGTTTAGTTAGTAATACTACGTTATACATTGACGTGTACTTGACATTAAGCTTCAAAAAAAAATTATGTTTTATGAAGGAACATAACGTTCACTTCATTTGGGCAATTTGTACCAGTGGTATAAATATCTTTTGTTAGGAGGTTGCTCTTTTCCTTTCTTATCTTTTTGTAAGCAGCAAAAATTTTCTGTATTTCTTTGCCAAATGCTTTTTACCAGGAAAAATCTCATTCCAAACAAAGGCTAAAAGTACTTGTTCAATGACATAAATATTTATTTGGGCCTTATAGGTACATGTGTGTTTAGTTGGTGAGCGGTGGGGGGAGGGGGCTCGGTTGGGTCCAAATTCCGTTAACCTTTACCCCTGTTTTGAACATTTAAACCCTCCAAGTCAATTTTAAGGTCCACTTAAAAATGTCTCATGCCCCCTCTATTACTTTTTTCAGGGTTTTCACTAAGAATTCTAGTAGTATACCTGCCAAGTGTCATGCCTGCAGATCGAAAACTTGGATCTCACGCCTACTCACGCCTGTGTTCTGATTTGTCATGCCTGGTAGAAAAGTTTGAGCCATTGCAGCATTAACTGACACATTTTGAAAAATTTGTTAATTATTTACACCAAAGAGAGAAAAGAAAAGTCTATTTGGGTGATCGACTTTCTCCGAATTCTCTTTTTTTAGTAGGAAAGTTAATGTTCCTTTGTGTTCCTGTGTTCGTGTTAGACGGAACTCTTCGTAACATCTTCGAAAGTCTTGAGAACGTTTTCGAACATCTTCGGATATAATCGGACCCCTATGAAAAATCTTGGCACTCTTAAGATAAAAAATGTCATGTCTATAAATGTAAAAAGGTTGGCAGGTATATAGTAGTGGGTGAAAGAATGTAACTTTACAGGAGAATATTGTGAAAGAGGCTCCATGTCTGAGTAGAAAATAGTCATAGGCTATCGCACATTAGCCAGAGAATTCTTTCTAGTAAATGGAGAATACTCCGTTGCGTAACGAACAGCCTGTTTTTTTAAGGAATGTCTTTTGAGGCTCATGCCAAAGTACATCATTTTATTCAAACAGGTTCTGATAACTGTCCCAGTATGTTTCATTCTGGACGTTGGAGAGGAAGTTTCTGGCAGCCCCATGGGTGTATGCTGCATTCATATATATCAAGGTTTGTACACTACAATACATTAATTTGTGCTCAACAGTAATTATACAACAAAATGTGGACTTAAACTGGTTTTCACTAGTGACAGAGTGTGGAGTCAAAATCATAAGTGGAGTTGTAAGAGCGCTTATATCCTTGTGAAAATCAAATATCGGTGTCATAAGCAGAGTCATAGGCTTGACAGAGTCGGAGTCGGAGTCGGAAGAAATAGAACTTTTCCATTTTCTTCTGATTCCGCTTATGACTCGGTCATTTAGTGAAACTAGTGACAACCAGATTGTTGAAGTCAGAAGCAGAAGGGGAAGGATAAAGCAATCACAATGCATGTTCTTATGCTTTGAGATTGATGTAGTTCTTTGGCTTCTGCTTGCGACTCTGACGACTCTGACGACCCAGTTGTCACTCAATCGTAAACGACAGAGTTGTGTGGGAATCAAAACGCTGTTTTCATGAGATTGTTAAGTCTTATGCTTATGATTTCAAATCTTGTGAGAACCATCCTTTAATCAGCTAGGTTGTTTATATTGTTATCAACATTACGAAAGCAACTTAATGTCTTTTCATTGCTGCAGTGAATTGAAAACATGTTTACAGAATCATCCTGTTGCATTTGTTGGTGATTCAAGAACCAGAGGGTTGTACTATGAATTGGTGGAAGCAGTCAGCTTAAATTCTGTCAAAGACAGTGGAAATGCTGTAAGATGAAGACATACATGTAATAAACATCACTGTTTGTTGATTAACCCTCTAAGTCCCAATAGTGACCAACATCAATTTTCTCCTAACAACATCAGCAGATCATCAAGAGTAAAGGTTATGAGAATTACTAAATTGATGACCAAAGGGAGAATTCTTTGATCTTAAAGCAAATTCTCTCAACTATTCTTAAAAGAAATGTATGGAGATCATTCTGGAGAAATTGTATGTGGATCTTTGGGCTTAAAAGGTTAAGAGACTATATCATGATGATATTGCTATAATTATTATAATTATTTTAGGTCAATTCTGTCATAACTTAGTGCCTTTACCTAAATACAAATAGGCCTTTTGCAATAGTTGGTTACCCATTTTAGGGCTCAAATTACCTGCCATAAATAAATAAATTAATTAAAAGGAGATTTGAGGAAGGTAGTGCTTTAAGGAAATATTTTTCGACAGTTTGAACATTTCGAAATTTACAAGGATTTGTATGAAAAACCATTTCAGCATGACTGAGCGGCAAGACTTGTTTTCCCCATACAAATCCTTTTATTTTCCGGCGCCCTTTGCAATCGCTTCTTTTGAGATATAAGGCTGAAACTTACATGTTACCTAATTTACTATGCTCTTTAAACCCGTGATAACAAAATTTTCAAAAGCGAACTGTTTTCATGTTTACAGAAAGTTGATCACGTGATCAACTACTGTAAAATGCCTATTGCTCCATTGCGGCGAAGTTCACAAAAACACGAAAAATGCCGTGAAATTCGGTAGAAATCTTATCAAATACATGTCTGTACAATATATTTGAAACTTATTTCAGCTATAGGGGCTATTTACTTGGCGTAAACTTGCAAATTTATCTCGGAACTTCGTCACTGAAACGTGCAAACAGATTATGTTGCGAAAAACTGGGCACTAGCCATGATGTTAAAGGCTTTGCCATTGGTTCATTTCTGGAGCGTATTGTTGTTGAAAGAGCAAATGATGACCTCTGTTAGAAAAACGTTAAAAAGGCTGGTCTGATCAGCGCAAAACCGATCGATTTCTAGCTTAATTTGCCTTGAAGATAACCAGAAAATCGGCCGTTTTTTACCGATTGCTTTTCGGTGAAGTTTACCCCAAAAACTCCGGCAAAATCGGCAGATTTTTCCGCGAATTTGTCCCTAAAAATCCCGAGAAATTTGACTTTTCTTCCAAGACCTATCAGAAGCCCTGCTAAGAAGACAAACCCCTTTGCATCAGCAGAAGGGTGTACAAATTTCTGTCCCCCTAAAAATGAAAATGTCCCCCAAAATTTTAGCCAAGGGGACAAATTGTCCCCCAGTGATCAAATCCTAGCTCAAACCCTGTATTTTTTTTTATGTTGAGCTTAAAAAGGAAAAATACAATGGGCTGAATACAACAAATGGCAGTGAATATACTGTTCATGTGTAATGTATTCTGCAAATGAATTAGACTGCAAAACATTCTGTATTTTTGCATATTCAATTACGCCAGAGGAGACAAACAGAAGGTCTGGAGCAAGGCTGAAAACAGAGAGCAAGACTGGGGAGAGACGCTAAGGACAGTCAGTTTTTTCTTCTCTCACCTCACACGCCCTACAGGTGTGTGAGGCTTGCACATTTTGCACGTGTGAGATGCTTAAGCTATGCTAAACATATTTTGAGAAGAAAACTGACCCTAAGATGACCTTGTCTAATGCAGTTAAAGCTCTTAGTATAAAGCTACTCATTAAGTTTGCACCAGTTAACCTTTGGTAAAGTTCTAAAATTTATACCTTTGGGAAAGTTGTTTTTTCTTTTCAGCCTAATAACTTTTTATGTGATTGTGTTTTTTTTT